TATTCTTTTGTTTGATCAAACATAATTCACTCTGTTTGGACCACGTCAGACATATAAAAGGATTAATTATGTACATCACCTCAAAAACAGAGGAGAAATGAGAGTGGTCTGGATGCAGACCTGGTGCAGAGCAATCTGAGCTGCATCCAATGCTTTTTAATACACTCACCCAACCTCACCCCTAACCCTTCCCCTCGCAGTTATGTCACTCGCTCTATTTGAGTGGATTGTGTCTGACACTGCATCACAGAGTGATGCAGCCCCTGCTTGCTTCATAAAGGCTGAATCCAGATACTATTGGAAGAAATGGCCCTGAAGCGCACAGCATAAGGTAAGAGATGGAGCTGTCTGGGCTATCTGGGGCTGCTTATTGATCATAAATGTATTGTTTTCACTTCTGCCCCATGGAACATGTACATGTGTCATATATGAATATGAAAAATATGAAAATGAAACCAATGTTCAATACCCAGCTCGGGTATCCAAAATACTGTGTTTTTAAATGTAAATAACTTTTGTACTGTAGAATAAAAACCAAAGTAATGCATATGTGCATAAAATACAGCTTCTACACGTTCCAACGAACCCACGTAAGGGGTCTGGTGCAATGCTAGCCCTTTAAATCTTATCGGGAAAGTCGACGTCTCGTCCGCGGGGTTTGAGAGGTTAATAATGCATCACAGGTAACAATGTTTGTTCATTGTTATGTTCAGAAATGTTGTAACTGCATTCTGAAACTGGTTGAAAATAATTCACTGATATGAACTTGATTGATAAGGTTATAAATGTGAATGAGTTATACTAAAAACGGTTGTAGCCTAAAATTTAGTTGCGTTTGAGTGCATTCTGTGGAGTCTATGTGATCTGATTTTGGGATAAACACACTTATTTAGATCTAATGACTACTGACTCATTATAAGAAAGCATGACTGATCAAAGCAAGACTTTTTGAGCAATTATGTACTTTTTGAAATCATAGGCTTAGTTTCTTTTTGTTATCTTAACTCTAAAACCTTCTAATCCAAGTTTAGTCATCAAGGTCTGCCGGGTGTTGGCATGCAGATCAAGTATAAAAGACAACAAAGTAATCAGTGGTAAAAAAAAAAAAAGTTTCAGGTCTCTTTACAATCTTTTAATCTCTTTACAACTTAAGCCCAGCTCACACAATGTGATTTTTAATAATCCTTTGTGTTTGTATCTTGTTCAGCCTGTACAACTTTTGATCTCCATGTCACACTAATAATAATAATAATAATACATTTTATTTAAAGGCCCCTTTCTGTCAAACTCAAGGACACCGTACAATAAAGCAAGAACAACAAAACAACAAGAAAAATAATAAAAATATATACACAGCAATAGTGCAGATAAAATTAAATTACATAGGTATTAAAAGCCATCTTAAATAGGTGGGTTTTGAGTCTTGATTTGAATAGTGTGAGGGAGTCAATGTTTCTGAGGGCAGTTGGTAGTAAGTTCCCAATCCGGGGAGCAAAGCAGCTGAATGCTCTATTGCCTATAGACAAGTGGAGCGAGGAAGAAGATCGCAGGGTGCGGGAAAGATCAGAAATGTGGATGAGGGCAGACAAATATGGAGGGGCGAGATTGTATAGCTTTCAATGTTAACAGCAAAATTTTAAAATAAATAAAAAAAGAACAGGTAACCTGTGAAGCTGCTGCAGGACAGGGTTGATTTGATGAAAAGAAGGGGTTCTGGTGATGATTCTGGACCAACTGAAGTTTACGGAGGGATTTAAGAGTGAGTCCAAGGAGAAGGGAGTTGCTGTAATTTAAACGAGATGTGGCTATGGACAAGAACAGCAGTGGCATGAGGGGTAAGAGAAGGGCGGAGACGGTTAATGTTGCGAAGGTGGAAGTAAGCAGACCAGCTGATGTTATTGATGTGAGAATCAAAAGATGTCAGTTGTCATACTTTTAGACTGAATTACATTTAGATGCTCCAAACACACAGATTCATCTGGAGTTTGACATTATCAATGCTTGTCACGTTCAGTCACCTATGTTCTTGAATGATATTTTACAGCAAACGTTAAGAATCTGTAGCATTTATTTGTATATAGCATACCTTGATAATAAAACCAGAGTATTATTTTTTCAATATTTCCCCAAATGTGTTTTGAAGTTCTCGTGCTAATTGCATCATCATGTTCAACACTCATCACAAGTAAAGTCACACTTCAGGAAAGTGTCTGAAAGCATCTGACAGAGTTTCATTGCAGGGAAAGTTTGATTGCAACAGCCGACAAGCTGTTTGTGAACATTTCAAACCATTGATCAGAAAACTAGGATTAGGATTATATGAATCTGTCAGAACTGTCTAAATTTACCAACCTAATCCCACAAGGAAATGTAAGTACATTTTGTCAGTTCAGTGGATAATTCATACAAGTTCAGTCGTACGAAAATGTACAATTTTAAAAAGAAGGCATGGCACCTAAACCCAACCGTCATTTGGGGGATAAGCAAATCATACTAAATTGATGAATGAGATCTTATGTATGCTTACGAATTAGCCACTAAATCAAAAAGTTACAAATTGGTGCGAGATTGTGTTAAAATTGACCTCAGATTATCATTGCCGAAACCGCAGTGGGATTCAGACAAAGTCTTGCTCACAATGTATGATTTCAGTCACATCTTGTCAATCCTAAAAGATTCCTGTAAATCTAGGCTACAATTTGTGATATTCGATCATTTGACCTGTTTACAGGCAGTTGCTTAATGGCCGGTGCGTGTTTGACTTCAGCTACAACTACCGTAGCATCAATCCAAGAACCAATGAGTGTGCCGAATTTGACTTCAAAACAGATTTTTTTCTTCTTCTGATTTTATTACTGAGGCACGCTGTGAGCAAAATTAGTTATGTATTTTTACGTTTGGCACGTTGTAAGTTCACAACGAATTCAGAAATTCAAGACGTGTCGTGTTTAAACACGGTGAAACTGCGCATTGAGGGTAAAAATGACGAATGTTTAAACTGCGCACAATTATGTACACCAGAAACAAGGTTTAAATCCATGCCTCAGTTGTCAAACTGTGCATGTTTATATGAACAAAAGAAATGTTATAGTTGGCACTAAACAGTATTTTTTCCCTTATTGTGACGTATGAAAAGGTGTTTTGATTCTGTCCTTTGATATATAAATGGACCATTGATGTTGTTAAAATGGATTTAGATTCAATGTCAGTTTTGCACTCAGCTGGGGAATATTGTTCTCCACCCGGCACATTGCTGATATCTTTATATGTAGGATCTTTTATTATGGAGCTCAATGGTGAGATTTTATTAAAGACTTCAAGGGCACATGTATTTAAAAAAAATGAGTGAAAAAAGATGAATCCTTTATAATAATCAATACAATACTTCATATTAAAATAAAAATTTATTTTGACTTCACAGTGACCACATTAACAATGTTTATGCACATTGTTATTCTTTCATCAAATGAAAAAAAAGTTTGTTTTGGTAATCATTAGCTGTCAGCTAGCTCTCTGCAGCTCTCACATGGTCACCTACTGAAGCTAAGCAGGGCTGCGCCCAGTCAGTACCTGGAATGGAAGGCCACATGGGAAAGCTAGGTTGCTGCCAGAAGTGGTGTTAGTGAGACCTGCAGGGAGTGCTTAACCTGTGTGGGTCCTAACGCCCCAGTGTATTGATGGAGATAAGTGCCTACATTAAGTGCCTTCTTTTAGATAAGACGTTAAACTGAGGTCCCAACTCTCTGTGGTTGTTAAAAATTCCACAATGTCTTTCGGGGGTGGGGGGAGTTAGGGTTTAACCTCGGCATCCTGGCCTGTTCTGTCCTCCATGGCCTCCTAACTGACTTCATAACTGGCTCCATTACCCACCTCTCTCCAAATCAGCAGGTGTGAGGTCTGGTGCTATATGGCTGCCGTTGCATCATCCAGGTGGATGCTGCACATTAGTGGTGGATGAGAAGATCCCCCCAAAACAATGTGTAAAGTGCTTTGAGTGTCCAGAAAAAGCTCTATATAAATGTAAGGAAGCATTACTGTTATTAAACTTTGCCTATTGTTCTGTGTTTGGAGTGTCATTCCTTCTTGGTTGCCATTTACCACACTCCTCTTACAATTAGTTTGCTACATGGGAATTATGCTAAAAAAATCACTGTGCGTTCACACTGAAAGCGGTGAGAGCATCAAAATTTGCTACACTGATCTTGTATTTAAAGAACCCCTTGCAGCATATCAGCAAATCAGTTACATTGCTGCTTATAAACATGAATATGTTGCACGGTTTTTATCAAATTCATTTAACCTTGGAAGATCAAGTTGTTGCGTGTGCTGTGGCTTTCCTCCACTTATTCAATATGTGTCAATATGTCTGAAATATTCTGAAGCCGCAATACTGTTCTGTACTGTCGTTATAGTTAGAGTGAGATGCACATCAGTAACTCACTAGTAACTTTTTAATGTATGTTCCTGTAAGAAAACAATGGAAATAATTGGAAATCTGGCGACCGCAATAATTAAAGCCTTGGAAACAACTGTGGTTGGAGCCAAAGTTCACAGGACTGTGTTCTCTGGAATCCTCTCAAGCGATAGACTTCAACATTCCAATTGGTTGGCGCCAAACTGTGTCATAGCTCATTACCATAAAGTTGACTTGATTTCAACTCACGACGTTCACACTGGCGAAGACGAGCCGCACCACTCCTCGCTGCTTATCGATGTCGGCTCCCATTGAAAATGAACTGCTTCCGGCTACTTTGACGCTCTCGGTGTGAACACACAATAAGCTCCGCCCCCTACTCAATTTTCAGTTTTAGTTGGAAGTGCATCAACATATAGAAATATATTAAAGCCCCAGCAAATTCAGGCTCATGCTGACTTTAAAAAGACTTTTAGTCCTGATCGCCTTCCATACTGTAGGATCTGGCGTTTACCATCTACTTAACTGTTCAACGAAAATATCGTGCTTTAAAAAACGAAACACATTTAATAAAACACAAACAATATAGAATCTTGTAAAATGTTTTTAATTTACTTTTCCTTTCCTCGTCCCCATCTGAGATGACAGATTTACAAATAATCCCCCATCCCTCTGAACCGGACCCCCAGATAACCCCGCCCCCCTGACCACTCCCCCTGCTGGAATGGGATGATATGAGACTAGCGAGTCTGGATCTTAGCGAGTGTGAATTTAAACAAGTCTGGACCAGTACAGTACATACAAATACAGACTAATAAGCACATGTAACATACATGTGCGCAGACACAAACACACACACGCTCATTCACGCACACACACAAACACACACACACACACAGTTGAGGACTGGAGTGAAACAGCACAGGTTGACTGCAGGTTTGTTCTTAGACTACACTTTTTCCCATGATTCCACTTGGCCGAACTCTCAAGATCCAAGATAAACTCTATGTGCGTTCCCAACAAGGAGGACCACCAATGTACCAATTTTTTCCTACAAAAAAGGGACTCGGGCTGACAAAAATGTAGGGCAAAATAAAAAAAAGGGCGAAAAAAAAAAATCATACTTTTAATTTAGACAAGACCCACAGAGCACAAACATATTTACAAGCTCCAGAAACAAAAGTAAAAACGCTCCTCTTCATTCCCCACCCCAAAAAAAGCTCAGGGGTTCACCTTCTTTTTTTAATATCTAAAATAAAATTATGAAAATAGACGTTGCGCAGGCAGCATCAGTGCCAGACTGGCACCGACAGACTGCTGGGTTCTGGGTTGGGTCTCGATGGCGAATGTGACATCACAGCTCGTCTCGGTCCCTGAGGATGGTGTAGCGTGTCTCACTGGGGGCCAATTTCTGGAAGGAGCTCTCTGGGGGATTACTGGGCACCTCTCTGTTCTCCTCTTGCTGGAAAACACAAGCAAACAGACAAATAAACCACAAATCAGCAGCAAACACGACAGTTCATCGTCATTATCCAAAAAGCACAGACTGACAAGTGTATCTCTGTTACTGAGGCCAGCGGGTTAATCCTGCTGCACACACATTCAAATGTCACCACACGTGTTTTATTCACTTTCAGTCTTAATAATTATACACCTGCATTAATTAGTGTAGATGAACATGTTTGGACTGGGACGTGTGCTGAACTCAGAGCCGGAGTAAAAGTGTCTGTCATCATGGGCCACTTTAATCAGCGGACAACACTGATTTTGAGCAAAATGTCATCTCGATAGGCACGAGCCAAACAGAAGCTGATTATTAACTAACATGGCTTGGTAATGAGCTGGTATGCATAATCAGTTTTTAGTTAATGAGGAACATGCAAAATTACAAGTATTGATAGTGATAATGTGCAGTTTACAAACTGCCATTCAAAAGTTTGAAGATTTGAACGTTTGAATTTCATTGCGTTTATTTGGTAGAATCCACGTATGATGGTGTCCACAAATTCAAGCACCACATTGGAAGAGATGATTACAGAAGTCCATCTGGGAAAGTGAGAATCCTGCTAGTAAACAAAATTGAACAACTTTCATAAGATTTGGTCTCCTTTTCTCCTTTATCTTGATTCTATCACCTAGCCTAATTAATCATGCAGTGTTGACTATACCATCGGTGTGGAATGTTTAATGGCCTGTTTCTACTGAGCGGTACGGTTCGATACGCTTTTATGGCCGTTTCCACTGTCAAAAGATATCAAAAAGCGAGACATACTGTATCACTTTTTGGGTACACTTTCCAAAGTGTACCTAGCACAACAAAAAGTGTACCAAAAGGCAGAGCAAGACTGCTATTGGCTTACAGAGATACGTCACTAGTGCATGCACAAGCAAGAAGAATGAAAACAAAGGAAGCGCCACTTTTAAATACACAGCTGAGACATTACACAGTAATAATAAATACTTATAATAACAAGCCATGGTCGACCCGAGCTCAAACAGACCTTGTCATTGTTTTGATGAACAGCAACAAAACCAAGAGGGGAGCAGAATCTGCCCTGCATGCTGTTGTTGTAAAGCGTGAGTGGTTTCACTTTCTCAAGAGATTTGCATGCGCTTGCTGCGCATCTATATTTGAAATAACAAACTTGAGCTGATGATAATAACGTGTGCGTAATTATTATTGAAGTGCTTTTGATATCCTTTCAGAAACAGACAAACGCAAGAGTGAAGCGTGAAAAAAAAACAAAGGAGAAGCCCGAAAAACAAAGCAGCAAATGACTCTTTTAGCAACCTAAAACATGAACAAAGTGCCATGTTGAATTATTATCATCGCCTTTCGGATTATTATGATCTCAGAATGATGGAATGACTTTCTAACAAGATGTTAACACTACAAGTGCTGGTAAAGAATAAAGATGAGAGGTTTGTACTGACTGCATGCGTTTCGTATCTTTTATGAACACAAATAAGGCCTAAACGTATGTTTGGGGTATCTTTTTATTTGTAATTGGTAACATATCGGAGACTGTAAGAGACTGTATGTGTTCATAAATGTTTTATTTATTAATTTTTGTTATATTTTCGCAGAAGTTACAGTGGGCTATTTCCTATTATCATTGAAATGCAGCTATAATCAAATCCTGTTCATAGAAAGATTAGTAATTAACATGTATTTATACATAGGTATTTGTGGATATAAAGCATTTGTTTAGTAAGAAGTGCTTCTCATACGATATAAGAACTTCGAGCGAGAATGACATCTACTGCAACTTTCTGTTGACACCACACCCACCAAAATGTACCATTGGTACCATTTGGCAGTGGAGACACAAGCCTGATAAGGGTGACCCATCCTGAACCATACCGTACCCTACTGTACTGTAGCACTTAGTGGAAACGAGGCATTAGTTCCATGTGTAGGGTGGAAGGGGTTGTTCTGGTTATTAGTTTGTATGTTTTCTTTGTTTGCTGTACTTATTTGCTCTGTTTTTAAATGGAAGGTTTATTAATCTTTTTTTATTTTTAATCTAACAAAACAAATATGTTACAATAACTATTGGATTGCTTTATAAAACAATAATCAAAGATTTAAACAAAAATTTGAGCATCATGGCAGTCTACGATTGTGACAAAAATAAATGTTTAAGCAACAAACTGGCATAAGTTCATAAGGATCATATGAGACTGAAGACAGTATGAAATTCTGTATGAAACCCCAGAAGTAAGTGATGTAAAAAATAATCAAATAGAAAACTTCTATTGTTAAATTGTAAAACTCTTTCTGTTTTACTGAATCTTTAAGCATTTATGTAGCATTTGTAAGCATAAGATTAATTTTTTAATTAATTTTTAACATGATTTAACATGACACCAAACATTTGAACGTCAGTGTAAACAGTACAAACGCAGAATAAAAAAGGTTTATATTTATAGATGAGCGGTCACAGAAATTTATTATTATATTTTTTTAGAGTTGGCATGAGATTTAAATAGATTATATATTGAATTAGGGAATAAAAGTAAATAACAAAAAAATAAAATACATTTATTATATAATTAAATTAATGTAACACTTTGATGTGTACTAGTAAAAGCTTAGGGGCAAACATTTGAGCCATACAATTATGTATTAATTTTTGTAATATTCATGACAGTAGCTGGACAGAAAACAAAGTTGGAGGGAAAAAGATGGATGGATGGAAGAAACAGGATCAGGAAAGGTTGGCGAGTCAGCACTCGAACCTGGGATGCCATAACTTTGCTACATATCACACTACCAATAAGACTATCAGCATTAAAGCCATACATATATTTTCATGATCAGTCACTTTACGTTAGTATTTTTATGCCCGTTCCCAGTTAAAACTAAAGAAGCCTCAAAACAAATGAAGTGGCATGTGTCTGCATTGAACTCTGACCTGTCCTGGAGTGCTGTCTGTGGGGTCTGGGCCGTGATGAAACTCTCTGTGCAACTTTCCTGAGTGCAGGTCCAATACAAACTGCCTCAGCTTTCCTGGAACCCTGTTCATACACACAAGGCATCATAAAACGGTCCAAAAACACAAACAACACCACGAGCAGCATTACTGATTTAATGAGTCAACAGATAAGACCCCGAGAGGGCCGACAGTCTCCAAAACCACAGCATTTTAACAAGATAATGGCATCATCTGTACTGCCCCAGACGCCACGGACCCCCTGGACAATCAGCTGTATCAGAGTCTGATGAGAGGCAGGCTGATAAGAGTCAAATTGGATAACAGGATAAGCAGAGTGCTTAATAAAATAAGGCATGCGCTGAATTATGATGTTTTCTGTCATAAACGGCCTCTGGTGTCATAAATTATTGCAGTGCTGTAATAGAGTAGTAGTAACATGGTTATAAACGTATAAAAGCCATGTTCACATATATAACAGCTACAGTATTTGAGAGGCATTGCTGTTAACTGGCTCAATGCAGGTGCAGAGCAAAGCATGTCGAAGGATAGTTCACCCCAATATTGTAATTTACTAACCATTTATTCACTTTTAAGAGTTTCCAATCGTTTATGCTTTGTTTTTTCTTCTGTTGAACCCAAAAAAGAGATAATTTGAACAATACTGGAAATAGGTAACCACTGATGTCAATAGTAGGAAGTCGGGACACTATGGAAGTTAATGCCAGAATAATATGGAAGTTAAAGTGTCACGAAACACATTTTTGAGCTGTTGATAGTCATATATGTGTCCCACACTGCAAAAAAAAACACTATTAGGACACATATATTTCACTAAAAAGTGAAAATTGGTTGTTTTTGCGTTATTTCAAGCAAATTTGAATTTCCGGTTTGAAACTAATTTTTGAAGCTGCGTCATGGCCATGATATCTTAGCGTGTATTCCAGCGTGTAGACTGGACATCTGTACCTATGAGTACCGTATTACGTCTCTGAGTGTGTTGCATTGATTCATGAGTATGTCTTGGTTCAAACCAATCAGCACGCTCTTTTGTGTATGCACTGCAACTTCATTAATATGCATGCTAGCTTCGAAGACTGTGGCTGAAACAGTGTTCAGACAGCAGAGAGACGACTCGTTGTGTTACAGAGAAGTGGGAAAAGAACATGAATTGTTTGGAGTTACGGGTCGTCCGTGTTGCTTTTATAATATTATAACAAACACACACAGCTTTCTGCTCTACCGAGTGCATCAGAGTTACCGAGCAATGCAGAGTTTTTTTTCTTTTATACGACGTGCGGTATTAAACATTCAATCGTCATTAAACACACTGTCTTTCTCCCCTGCGTGTGTGTTTGTTTTTCCTCGGTGAAAATCAGTGCCCAAATGGGAACTCCCAATTTTATTCAAATCCTTCCCCTTTTCCCTCCCCTGACTTTCCCACCCAAACAAAGCTAGACACACCCACTTTCCTGACTTTTTCCAAACTAGAGGTGTGAAAATACCCTGCTGAAATGGGGGGTTTCATGGCCCTTTAATAAAGTTAACAGTTCAAGTTAATGGTTCAACATTCTGCTAAATACCTTATTTTGTGTTAAACAAAAAACAAAACAAAAAAAAGAAAGAAAACAGATTTGGAGCAAAAGGAGATTGAGTAAAAGATGGCATTTTTTGTTTTTGGGTGAACTATCCCCTTTAAGTCAGCCCATGCTCATTGGTAATATGTGCTTCAGCGTATATTTTGTGTCATGTAAAATATGTTGCTTCGAGTACATTTTGCTGCACATTTCAGATCACAAATTCACTAGAGGGCTCAGTCTACATTTGTGAATTTGAAATACATTTCTTGGGGTACATTTTGTTGTACGTTTCAGATACACATTCTTCTTGTACAAAGCAGCTTCACATAGAAGATAATAGATATAGATTATAGATGCATCTACAAGAAGACAGAACTTGTTGTACAGATCACCTAGTGTGCCTTCCCTAAACCCATCCAATAGTGTTTTCAAAAGCAAACGATTTTTAAAAATGTATCTAGGACAACATATTTTTACATTGTTTCCACATTGCTTTTATCTGTTTTGCGAACGGTGCATAACTCACTTGAATGCTTTGCATAGCAAGCTAAACAACAGAGTGAATCACCAACTAAACTGACAACAGAAAACTTGTTCGTATGGAGAAAGATAAGTGAAGCAAATGTATTTGATTACAAATCGCAGACAACGTTAAGTTGTTTTGTGGTATTTATTTGGTGTTGTGCAAAGAATTGCAGGAAATGAATCCTTTATTCCTCAATAATGTGTTCCTTTAAATATCATTATTATAAAAAGAAAAGAAAAAAAAGAATAAATTGTTGGCGACATACGGCCCTTTGCATGTTGATTTTACCAAGAAACTGCAGTGGGGGAAATCAGTATTGAACACGTCACATTTTTTCCTGGGAATAATATTTTTAAAGGAGCTGTTGACTAGGTATTGAAATGTTTGATAAAAACCCAAACAATACATATATTAAAAATAAAACAAAATAAAAAATCTGAAAAATAAGTTGTGTAATGAGAATGAAATGACACAAGGAGAAAGAATAGAACTACTGAAGCGTATTTAATACTTTATACAAAAGGCTTTTTTGGTGATGGCAGCTTAAAGACGCCTCTCATGTGGAGAATGAAGTCACATCCATTGCACAGGTGTGATTTTTTTTCACAGACTTTAACAGAGTGTAAAAATCTTGATGGTTCTGTGGGTCTCGTCTATCAAATCTGAGCTTTATTTTGTATTTTATATTGGATTCGATTGGTTGAGGCATTCTGCAGCTTGATTTTCTTTCTCTGAAAGCATTTGAGTGTTTCCTTGGCTGTGTTTTGGACCATTTTCTTGCTGAGATGTTCATACTGGTTTCATCTTCATCATCCTGGTGATATAAATGTTGGACTGAAGCAGCTAATAATAATTTTCAATGACAAAGGGCAGAGGGTTTGCTGAAGAACTACTGAGAAATTTCAGCTGCTGTCTAGATTTTCACCATCTTTGTACACCTCCATTTTTTAATTTGTTCAATACTTTTTTGCTGCGTCATTTTATTTTATTACCCATAAATGAATTTGTAAACTAATTAGCTTTAATTTATTTGCATATATAAATTTCCTTTGTTGTTATCAACATCAGGAGAAAATTTCAAGGCAACAGCACCTTTAGAAATAGGTTTTTTTAGAAAAGCGGTGGCGTGTTCAATACTTATTTCCCCCACTGTATGTTGAAGCACACTATTGTGGTTTAAAAAAAATGTAGGCTGAAGCACGTATTTCCAAAGAGCATGTGTTGCTTTAAGCTCTGTCACGCTCACAGTGTGTGTTGCTGTGGCACTGAGTATACAATAACAAGTGTGTACGTATAGAGTGAAAGCTAAAATAATCTCTGCATTAAATACACACTGACAAGTGCAATACTTACGCAAGGTCGCTGAACTCTGGGAAGACATACATGTGGCGGAAACTATCGATGGCGATTACAGGGCAATCGGCAGGTGTCTTCTGAATGTGAAGTAGAGGGTGCCGGAACTTATCGCAATCAGCATGAAGGAAATTTATAGAACCTGAGGGAAAACCAGATTCATTTAGATATTGTCATTTAGATCTGTGAAAAGCACTATGAGCATTAAAAGTACATTTTGATTATGGATGTGCAAAACTTAACATTTTCAAACTGGATATGTTTTTTTGTCACACTACTAAACTAAAAAATGTCATTTTTATTCCAGTGTTTGATAAAATTATGTTTGTTTTGACAACAACAAAGTTTCAGTGCCGCCGGAAGGCCAAAATGGAAAAAAAAAAAAAAGTTACATTTTAAAATGATAAAAAACAATAAAAACTGTAAAAAATAAATTTGTTTGCTGTCTTCCATAACGGTGCATGTTTACTATGGGAAGTATGACACATTGCCATTAGAGTTAGCAGCCCAACACACAAGCATCATATTTTCTTTAGTAAACACGTACCCTGACCTGACACAGAGGGCACAGGTGAACACAGTCATTTGTACAGTTTTTCTGGTGCACAAAAGTGTTTTCAGAGCTTCATTTGATTACTGCTGTACTGATTTCTTTGGTTCCGCAGCTATCATATGAAGCTCCGAAAACACTTTTCAATGATTTGACAAGGTTTTTGCTTTCTTTCTTTGAATGTCACATGACCTTTTCTGTCTATGGAGGATGAGAGAGCCCTCTGATTCAATCTAAAAAAATGTTAATTTGTATTCAGAAAATTTAATGTCTTGAATTTTTGGCTCCTTTTCTGGACTTCGAATGTCTCAGGACCATTTCGATCTATGGAGGATCATCTACTCTGTATTCAAAAAAAGTGTTTTTGCCACAAGATTGACCAGTTTGAATTAGTGTTTGGCGATAAAGTTGGTATTGATATTTATTGACCGAACACCATAGTCAACATTGATTAAAGAAAAGATTTGCTATGAAGTTTCAATATGAAGGCTATAGTTTTATTAAATTGTGACTGCTGAACATGCGCCTTGGAAGCAATGTCAATAAGCTTAGGATGTAGGTTTGTCATTTCCAATGAGGGCATGCGACTTGTCGCACATGTTGTGCAAGCGGTGCACAAGTGATAAGTGGATGTAAAAAAGGATTTAAGGATGTCGCCAGAGTGACTTTTTGGTTTCTTTTCTTGTGCATCCCAGCAACTAGCTCTCCATCTGAAAGAGTTTTTATTACAGGGGTAATGTAGTTATTTAACTTCATAAATTGTAATGTTGGAATTTGTATCTAAATAATGATGGCTGGTTCCTTTACTTGAAAGCTCAGCTTTGATTATCATCATTTGTTTTGTTCAAAGAGTTTGAGGTTTACTGTATCATCATTACTCGCATTTTACAGATGTTGATCCACCTTAAAGTTTGCTTTGATTGTTCAGTATTTTACCACTGCACACACTATTTAACATTTTATTTTTCAAGTTTAAGAGTCTCTTTAGCATATACGTTTATTTTATTATGAAGAGATCAAATATTTTGTTTTATCACTTTTTATTTTGACTATTTAAACTATTTGCCCTATTAATGTTGGTAAATTAAAATAAAGTGGTTAAATAACAAAAAAATCTAATATACCTAAATGTATTGTTAAAAATATTCCACAATTATCGATATGGAATGATATAAAACATGATTTTGTGATTTTTTTTTTTTTTGCGATGTCGCCCAGCTCTAGTTTGCATTCTCTTACTATGCATATAATGAAGGGTTGCATGTACCCTTTTCACTAATAAGCTGACGAGCCACTTCTTGCTGAAATTTCTCCAAACTCTCTGTGTCATCCTTCTGATGGAAGAGGATCAGGAACGGGATTCCCTCCTCTGTCAGTTCCTTTACACACACAAAAAACACAAATTCTAAATCGCATCAAGCACAGACAAGAAGCACCCTGTGAAAAGTCCCAGTGATGTTACACAACAGTATCACACATAGAAAAGTAAATGCCGTATAATGAGTTTTGAGTGTGTAGGACGGCAGGGTGAAGTGCGGTTGGGCAGAGGTGGGTCAGCAGAGCAGATTGGGGAGAATCTACCCTATCACCAAGCAACAATGACAGAGATATTCAAAACATGCGGTCAAGTAAATCAAAGAATAAACCCACACCCGCTAAAGGACATGGCATGCGGACGTCTTTAAAACACAAACACATGCTCTAGTGTGGGAAAAGTACACTGAGGGGGAGGGGACTTTTCTTATGCAAATGATGAACACGCTGTTCAGCTCGACTGTTCGATGTACACAAATAACAATGCAAACAAAGTGGAAATAAAGTACATGTGATAGTTCATATGCACTACACACACACACTCACACAAAAAAGATATTTTGAGAAAGGAAAGTCATACCTCTCCGTTTTCAAATGTGATTTCTCGGACTAGCGGTACACACTTGTCTTGCGTCCAGGCGTAACTGAGGTCAAAATTTGTAAGCGAGCCCATGTAGACCATGTCAGGAGCATTTTCTCCCAATGGTTTATAAATAATGTTATCACCACTAAAACGTTCGGGCTTAGAAACCTCCCTAAGAGAAAAAAGAAAAGATTAGAAATTTAAATGTCACTTTTTCGAAAACATGCCATTATTTACTCATCAAAACAACTGTATTTTGTATAATACAAAAACTATGTATAATAATAATTCTAGCAACAGTGCATTTGATTTAAAGATTTGATGTATGACATATGAGTAGGGCCAGACGGAATCTGCAGACAGGTTTTTTTTTTAATCATAACTGAAACCTAAATATATGAACTAAAAAGCAAAACCTTTTTACATTGCAAATCCAATTAGATCCCCTTATATGGCAAACAAAGCAAGTCTTCTATATAATATATGTACTAAAAGACTAAAATTAGATTAAAAATATTACTTTACAAACAGTAATAGTTGTCAACACAAACATCTTAATGTAATTATAATGGTTCTCAAAGGCCCCTTCATTTCCTCTCAGAAATCACCAGCTATAGCACAGCTTCATCAATGGTAGGATCAAAATGAGTTAAATATCCCAATACAAGCCATTTCTGATGCTGACTGAGAGTACAGTATCTCCTACCCAAAAGCTGCCAGGAAAGCACAGTCGTCTCTCAGAATGTTGGCCACTTTCTCATAAGTACGGTAATTGTCCGAGTCCCTTTTTTCAAAGTAACCAATGATGGTGCGTCTGCTCCTCTGAAAGAGATGAGGGGACATGAAGATGACACAGCAGGGGAAAACTCCACGTCATTCTTAGTGGTTGTACAGCTGTGTATTTTGTCATCGTGAAACACTCACATCTACAGTGCTGATTTCCTCCAGATTTTCGATCTCTTTAATTGGATCCACTTTCTGCTGGCGGATGAAGTCGGCGATGGCGGTCACTGACCTTTGACCTCTGTACTCTCGCTTCATCATCATGCCATTCCTGAACAGCTTCAGTGTGGGGTATTTGCTTATCCTGTAGCGCTGCGCTAGATCAGCTATCAGAAGAAACAAAAATATATCAGCTACACTGCTTTGAAAAAAAGAGGGTTGGTCAATTTTCAAGTTAACAACGGAAGACTGAAAAATAGGGATAGAAATAGTGTAGAATAGAAGAAATATTTAATGTTCTTACAATTAAATTTTTGTTTTATTGCATTTTGAATGATGTGTAAAAGAAACTTCTACAAGAACTGGTTCAAGTAAAAACTTGGAAAACACAGCCTGCAAAAACGCTTTGGCCTGATTCGGTGTCTGATTAGATTATTAATTAGATCATGTAGGAGGAACTAGGAATAATTGCATGCATGTTTCATATAGATTCTTTTAACAGGGACCAGTTTATGTATTTTTTAATTAATCTTTTTATTATTAATATAAATTTCATGGCTCATTCCAACTTACAAATTTTGCTGTGATAACAATAACTGGTAAACGTCTGTTTATTCTTCAATCCTTATACTGTATATTCATCAATTTTAGTCATACTCTTAAACAGTGTTTGACGATCACGTTCCGAGAGGACCAATAACACTGCATGTTTTGGATGTCTCCTTCATCTGTCACACCCTATACAGGTCTTTCAGTCTCCGCTAATGAGCTAATGATCTGAATCAAGTGTATTTGGTTAAGGAGACCTGGAAGATGCGCAGAGCTGGTGGTCCTTCCAGGAATGCGGTTGATAAACACTGCTCTTAAGTATACTCATACTAAAACTAAATTGTAAAAAACACAATTTCTTACTTAAGATTTTGTCTTGTTTATAGTCCAAATATACGAAAATTCTTACAATCATAAAGCATTCTCTAAACATGTCAAATATAAATCTTATTTATCTTTAAAACAAGCAAAATAATCTGCCAAACTTACTGAGTGTACACAGGTGGCAGATTCTTTTGCTTGTTTTAAGGAGAAACTCACTTCATTTTGACTTGTTTTTTTTCAGAAAACAACAGAGTTTTTTTAGTTGTTTTTTAGTCATTCTTTAGTGCTTTTCAATTTAAGTTTTTTTTTTTTTTTTAATTTGGAACAGAAACAGGACAAAAGTTAATGTTTTTTCCAGTGTATCATAAGTATAGTGGGATCATTTTATTCTGGAATTGGGAAAGTCTTCTTTAAAAAGAATACAAAAAAATAAATAAAACAAACAATAATAAGTATAACAATAATAATATAAAAATAACAATAATCATAAAAAATATTAATTGGGTCCCATGGCCAAACAAGCTGAAGTTTTTTTTAGCATCACTCAGCCATTCTTCTGTTACATGATCCTTCAGAAATCATTCTTAAAATGATAACTTGCAGCTAAAGAACATTGTCAATGTTTAAAAACAATATTGTACTCTTCAATTTGTAAATGGAAATTGTAATCAGCTCTTCAGAATTATTCTTTAATATACAAAACATGATTCATTAGAATCAGAAATCTTTTGAAACATTATAAAATGTCTGTATCGTCACTTTGATCAATCTAATCTTTGCTAAATAAAAGTACTTGGAAAAAAATACTGACCCCAAACTTATCTAAAGCTAAAATCTATTTTCATAAAAATCCATAAAATCCAACCAATTGTTTGTTGACGTGACATTTCAGCTCACGCTTTTTTGGTTTGTAATTAAAAAGCAGCAATTGTAGGATAGAAATATAGCTCGCTTTAAACTTCAAGGGAAAAAAATGGGTCAATCCACGAATGTTTTTTACATTATGAGAAGGAGAGATCAAAAGGTCAGAAATCAGATATGTCTCATTTAAAAATAAAAAAGCTGGACTCCAGTCAAAGCATACAGCTATCAAAAGATGAAGAAAAAGGGGAAGAACTAAAGAAGGTGGAGGAAAGAGAAAGAGAGAGCGTAAGGAGGAAAGGCAGAGGGTGGAGACATGAAAGTGAGCTGGTGTGGGGGGTGAATACTCCAAAAGCATGTGCGCTCACACACATATACACACACGCTGTGGGGTCTCTTTGAGCCGCCTTGACTTCACAGAAGATGCAGTTTTGTCATTAAACCATCAAACACTTTACAAGACATCAATAATTCTGTTTAATTTGCTTTATCTCAAAGGCTAAACCAATATGTGTGTGTATGTGTGTGTGTGTAAACTCACAGTGTTGGTCACAGTCGACCCGGCCGAACACCACCTGGGTAGCGTCTGGATATTCCTCGCGCACTATATTTGACGCCTCCTCAAAGATGGGGTGCAGCATCTGACTAAAACGACACCTGCCGAAAAATAGATCATGTGCTGAAAACAGGCTGTAGATGAAATGCTTTGAAGAATTTTAATTTTAATGTTGACATATGTATGTTGAGTATTTCTGGTCCTTTTTTTATATTAATTTAATGTATTTGTGAATTAGCGATGGAATAAAATGCAAAGTAACCCAAGCATAAATCACAAGATTTTCCTCTTAGCATTTGTAGTTCACGTCACCGTTTTAGGTCTACATTTTAGATTCTACAAATTGTCAGTATATTCTAAATGATAACTTATGATTATAATATAATTTGCAATAACAAACATTTATAACACATTATTAAAGTGGTATAATTAATAATAATAATAATAATAATAATAATAGTAGTAGTAGTAGTAGTAGTAGTAAAGAATCTATGTAAGTACAAGCAATCTTTTTTTTACATAAATAATTAAGCATTAGCAATAACAATAATAATAACTACAAACAATAATAATAATAATAATTATTATTATTATTATTAATTCTACTACTATTATTTATTACAAAAATTATTAGTAATATTAATAATAATAATAATAACAACAATAATTATTATTATAACTACTATTTATTACAGAAATAAATTAGCATTAGTAATAATAATAACAACAACAACAACAACTATTCATTATTATTATTACTACTATTTATTACAGAATTAAATTAGCATTAGTAATAATAATAATAATAATAGTAACACTAATAATTATTTTTGATTATTATTATTACTGCTATTAATTACATAAATTATCATTAGTAACAACAACAATAATTATTATTATTTATTATTATTATTACTGAAAATGATAATAATATTTATTACAGAAATAAATTAGCATTAGTAACAACAATAATAATAATTATTATTTATTATTATTATTACTACTAACAATAATAATAATATTTATTACAGAAATAAATTAGCATTAGTAATAATAAATATTATTGTTTAGTTGTTAATTTTTTTGGGACTGAATGCATGAAGCATTGATAAATATAAAATAAAAGGAGAAAGATAAAAAATAAAAAATTGGTTATTAAACATTAAATCAATTATGAGCATTAAAAACAACAACGCTTTACCTTTTTGATAATTTTTAAATCTATATTTTATAGTTTCTCTTTAAATAAAATTGATAATAACTGATCATTAAAACTACTTAACAATAACCATCATCATCTGAATGACCATGATAAGGGAACAGTAAAACAGTCAAAAATGGACAGATCTCGTGATGGTTTCTTCTGGAGGTTATAAAGCGACACACACTCACCAGTCTGCATAGAAGTTGACTAGAGCCACACCTGCTCCGTCTGTGGAGAGAAACTGTGCTTTAATGTCATCTCAGCATCAGAAGACTCACACCCACACAAACAAACAACTCACTGAGGATGTCATCGATGTTTCCAGAGTCCAGACTGGTTATTTCCCCTCGTCCTGGATTATACAGACCCGTTACCTGCCAACAACAGAGGTGCGTGAGTAATGTAAAAAAAAAAACTGGATTTGAACATCATCACTGGACATTCATACTCACACTCAAAATACATTTTGCTGCTTGTTCTAACTCCTTTTGTAAAATGAGCTTAACACATTTTTGAAATCTTTCTGGGCCAACTTAATTGTTTTATGTTCAATCCACTTAAGTCTGTTAAGTTAACTTATTTGATTTGTGTTGCGACAACCTGAGTGAATTGTGTGGAATCATCCATTTTTTACAGTGCATAATTTAGAATCAAAATAAACTAACAAACACTTTAATGCACACTAAAATGCTGAATTGTTTTGACCCAATTTTTGACCAAACCAAACTGTTGGGCTAAATGTTTTTAAATTAAATTACATTTTTCAGCCCAACTGGCTTTGTCTATATTAGACAAAAAAATGGGTTAAACTGTCTCTTTTAGACTGTAGGGTGAAAAATGAGCCAATTTCGAGCCCTAAAAAGAAATAAAAAACTAGCATAAATTATATCTGATCTTTTGTCATGTTTTTAGTGGTTAAAGAAAATAAAAAATAGAAACCATCTACTAAAGTAAAGATGTCTAATGTAACTTTTTATAACTGCACCTGGCTTTAGCATCACATCTTTATCCAAAACATCCTTTTTTTTGTTATTTCGCAGAACTCTACATTTCTGGGATAAAGTTAAAAATATTAAAACAAGGGGAACATCTTTGTGTTACTTTCAAACAAACAATTATTTAAAAAAAAACTTTAACATTTTTTACATGGTTCATTTGAAACTTTAAAGTGGACATTTCATAAAAGCACATTCTTAAATCATAGTCATGAGTGACAGGTCATTTTTGCCTACAAAAAATAAACAGTTAAACGGGTAACAGGACCTACAGTAATGCATGGAATAGGCTATTACATTTTCATACTGTTTTTGATGCTTAAAACCCCTTCTGGTCTTTGACGCTCTGTGCATATGAAATGTGATTTAAAAATGCAGTGTATTTCTAAAATTATTTATCACAAAAAAAAAAAATCATCATCAAATGAGTCATGACAAACTAGCCATGGCCCAGTATAAGGTTCTGACGATATGATAATTTAAAGTCTGGGTAAAAAAAAAAAAATGAAAAAAAAAATCTGCTTTGAACACAATGTATTTTAATTTGGAAAGCTTTTAAAATATTTTGGGGCAGTGAATAAGTCAGGTTAAAAATTCTAAAGTAATTACTCCTGCTGTCTTCATTAGTTTCAAAAACAATGATTTCATTACAATTTAAATGGCATCTTTGGATATATTTTCTGCTGGAGATACTGTTGTCCTAAAAAACTTATATGTAAATCAAAGGCGGCAACACCAAGGCTCCAAAAACTTATAACAAAACACGAAAAAAAACATGACAAAAAAAGCTTGCATAAACCGCAGGAACGGTATAGCAGAAAAGTTTGGCGGTTTTAAAAACTTATTGTTTCCAAACCTTAAAAATGATTATCGTCTCATGCATATGACAAACACACATTACATGCCGTCTAATTGTGAGTTTATTAATATATTTTTTTAAAACAGCAGAATAAATGCCATTATAGTATCGGTACATTAAAAATAATGTCAATCACCCCAATTAACATTGTACAATTTCTTTACCTCAGATAATCTGAGGTATAGAAACTCAACGAATAATCTCTTCTGGTCAAATTTTAGACATTGACCCTTGTATTGTTCTAAAATACATTTATGAAAAATGAGAAATATGTGCATCACACACACACACACACTCACACACACACACACACACACACACACACACACACACACACACACACACACACACACACTCTCACACACTCTCACACACGCACGCGCACGCGCACGCACACACACTTTTACAAAAAAGTATGTTCAAAAATATTGAGCAGCACACACACGACGACAACATCTGTGAACCAGTGCGTGAATGAAGAGCTTGAGGAATAATTTAAGTCACAGCACACAGCTCTCCAGGATCTGACAATTAACTAGGGAGGTACTGTATGATAACTATTACATAATATTTTCCCTACTCACCTGCAGTGCACTGCCTAAAAGATTATATTGGCAGAGTTTTAAGAGAGAATCTTGCATCACTTATCAACAATAGATAATTGGGATTTTTACCCAAGATGACCTTTGTAAACAAATTATTTCCTTTGTTTCTAATTTCATGTTTTTTGTTCCCTCAAACAGCCCCCCTATTACACTGCTTCTTAGGGTGAATTCACACTTGTCATGTTTGGTTTGACAGAATTGAACTCAAGTTTGTTTCCCCATTTGACGCTGATATTCCGGGCAGGTGTGAATACAGCATGCTGTGCCACACAGCAAACACCTGCACCATATTGATTTTATTTTAGAATATTTGTTTACAATGACTAAACGGTAAGATTACATTATATTTATATTTATATTTAAAATATCTTAAGCTGCCAATTGCTTATTGCTTACACTGGAACAACATGACATGAACAAAGTACACAATTAATTTGTTCTTACTAATTACCAACCAAAGTTACTTTCAAAGTATTGTTAGTTTGCCTGATTCTAGTTGTTTGAATTTATTTGGTTAATATATGTTTGTGTTATTACTCTGAGATCAGCATATCTCAACCAAAGTTCATTGATGGCATGTAACGTGGCTATCTATCTAATATAAGTGATAAATTCCAAATAAACCCTGGGCAGAGTTTAGCAGTGCCAGCCACATGCTAAACTAGAGCTGTTGGATGAGTCTGCCCTTTACATCCTGTTTGACACACAGTCAGAGACAGCCTGAGGATAGGTGTAGTGCTGCACGATCAACGCCTTCACCCATCCTTCAATAAACCCTGTGAGACACTTATGACCAGTATTATCAATGACGAGACTGACTGTGATATAATGATGCACACCTACAGATCTGAAAGAGACAGTTCAAGCAAAAATGAACATCCTGTCATCATTTATGCCCTCAAGTGCTATCAAACATTCAGAAGCTTCTCTCTTCTGCTGAACACAAAAGGTATTTTGAAGAATTCAAACAATACACACAATTACTCAAATGTTATTTTCATGTGCATTTTATTACAGCTCTGTAATCAGCTGTAAATCTCCAGCACATGCTTTCAGATGGAACAGCGTTTACTACACAGAGCCAAAGTTAACTGACAAACCTACGCAAAAATCAGGGCAATTCTTAAATGGAAGATAATCATTCTGTGATTTTGTTTGCGTCGCTTCTCAGTGAACTACATCTCAAAGCAGGTAAAAATACCATATTTAATCACATATTTTACACCAAACTCACTTCATAACTTCAGCGAGGGTCTGAAATCAATCATTCTGAGGGATGACTTAGTATTTGCTTATTAGTAGTCAAGCTAAATCAATAAAATCAGTTAAGTCCTCTATTTGATTCTCTATGCCTTTTCTTTGGCATACTTGCAGTTTTTGCACAAGAGTGCCCCCTCTGTTTACTGAGATTTACTACTGATCACAGATCTGTGCTTCCCTGACAAGATGCACATAAGAAATCTCAGCCTTTGCTAAATGAAGATTTTGATTAGGGATGCAATTATGTTAACGTTACGGTTACTTTACAGTTAATCATAAAGGCTTCTTGAAACAGTGTTTCTGCACAAAACAAAACTGCTGCAACTAAACAAGTTATGCAAACAGTGTGCTAGTTTAAAGTTCCAAGCTTGTACACCGGGACTAATATGCACGCACACTAGATTAACTATGGCTGAGGATTATAACTAAGGGCTGTTCACATATCACGGCGACGTGCTCACGCTTGGCGTATCCAGGCGTACCTAGTTGAAAGAATGCCGCTAGTCACGTGTCAAGAACTAACTGTAAAGTAGGAATATATTTCGACTCCAAGGAGAAAAAAATACAAATGGGAAATACCTAACACTTTTGAAATATAGTTGATTAAAAGTGCCTTTCAGGATCAGCAGCCTTTGTCTACATTTGTTCTCTTTAAAAGGAAAATACATCAGACAAATACTTTTTTTTTTCTTATTTTATTTTTGTATTTATTTATTGTTCTGTTGTTCATTTTCAGTGTAAAATTATTACTTCTGTTTAAAAGCCAAATACTTTTAAATGCATTTTTAAGTCCAAAGAGAAATAGACTATTGTTTGTTTCTATTATTATTGTGTGCTATGTTAATTGGTTACTGAGCAGCAATAAAAACACTTTAAATCATAAAGAGTTTCACATGATTTCCTGAACTAGTAGTGTTAGAAATTAATGAATGCATAATAATTATGATAATCATGAAACCGTGATTATTTCTGACTATAATCATACAACCAAAATCTATAATCGTGGCATCACTAATTTTGATTTTTATTTTGATATATTGTCCAGTACCATACCAGCAGTCACTGACTTCCATAGTAGGAAAATAATACTATGGAAGAAAGTCAATGGTTACTGGTTTCCAACAGTCGTCAAAACATATTCTTTTGTGATTGAGAAATAAAAGAAAAATCAAACAGCTTTAAAACAAGCGGAAGGTGAGAAAATTATGACAGAATTGTAATTTTTGGGTGAACTATCCGTTTAAATTTTAAAAGGGAAAAAGAACCACGCAGACTAAAATATCAAACCCACACACTGAGGCATATGTGGTTCTCTTCAGAAAAATTGGCAGCTGCTAAATTCACTGGCTAAATTCACAGAGAACTCAAGTCTCCAACTGTCACAACACAACTAGAGAAACCAAACAAACACACGGCTCCACATGGGCTGATCTGCGCTGCTAAGATCACATAGTACAAAATCACAGCTAGACCCAACATATGGCTGATAAACATGCATATTCATTTCTTACTAACAAACACAAAGAGCATCTCTATTATGGAAAAAGTCTATGCAGATGAACAAATTTGACCAGTAGGTTTAAAAAAAAAAAAAAAAAAAGTTTTAGTTCATTGGTGGAACATTAATCACTGTATGAACCAACGGACAGCAATGC